GGGACCGTGCAGCCTTCCCTTTTGGCGGGTTTGCGCCTCCCCGCCAGCCAAAGGGCGGCGCAACGATACTCTGCCAATCCGAGCATCAAAAAGCCAGTTCTGTAAACAAGCAGCCTGGACTTCAGAAGTGCCCTCGGATTTTGTGGGTGCCCTGCATAGCACGGTGCCAGCTGATCGGTGCCTGGAGGGGCACTTCTCTTTGGCCTGACCTATACTCATACATACAAATGAGGACGCCAAATGAAATTAATGGGTAGCAGGTTTAAAACTAATAAAAGAAAGTTCTTCTTCACATTCCACACAGTCAACCTGTGGAACTCCTTGCCAGAGGAGGCTGTGAAGGCTAGGACTATAACAGTTTAAAGAGGAGCTAGATAATTTCATGGAGTTTAGGTCTATAAAAGGCCATTAGCCAGGGGATAGAAATGGTGTCCCTGGCCTCTGTTTTTCAGAGGCTGGAGAGGGATGGCATGAGACAAATCGCTGGATCACTGTCTTCAGTCCACCCCCTCCGGGGCACCTGGCACTGGCCACTGTCAGCAGACTGACTACTGGGCTAGATGAACCTTTGGTCTGACCCAGTATGGCCGTTCTTATACCCAGTTGAAAGCTTTTTTAAAAGAACTCTCCTCCCCCCCACCCAATTTTTTTTCTTACTGTTGTTGAATTCCTTTAAACTAACTATGGATTCATTCAAGATTATTCAGTTATCTGTATGTTAATAAAGGGCCTTCCATGCTACTGTACTAACTATGTTAAATATACTTAGATTTTGGCATGACTACAGTTTACTTGATACAGCGGGTCTACCCACTACTAAGTTTCCCTGTACCCCATTAATTGGAATTGAGGTGGATGTGGGCTGAATGAAAATTAGGGTGGGGGACAGGAATTGAAACAATGTGCTTTGACAGGAAAGGGAAGGGGGTTGCAACTGTTTTAGGGCTCTGACTGTGTTAAAGTTTGTTGGATTTTTAAACAATGTAGCTTTGCTAGATTCCTTCAGATACAAGAATAACAGTGTCAAACATCTCAGAAGGATACTGATATGGATGTTATTTTGACATTCCTGCCAGAGAAGTGCTTATTTTGCCTCCTGTAACCCTCTTTGTAAGGGTAAAGGAAGTTAGAGGAAGAGTGATCTATTTCAAAGAAGTGCTGTGTAGACGTTCCCAAATTCAAAATATTTCAATGTAAGCTACACAATTTTCAGTAGATGTAACCTTAGGGTGTGTCTATACAGCACTGTAACACGAAATAAGATACTCAATTTGCATATCTCAAATTGTGTATCTTATTTCAATGCTATTTTGGAATAGTTCATTTCATCATTTGTTAGTCTCTACAGTGCTTCAGGACTACTCAGTGTCAGACATAATTTGGTCTGTGCACTTAGCTACATAGCTGTTGATATGATGCCATTGGAGATGGGGGTTAAATAGTTATTTCTACCAAAACCTGCAGTGTGTTTAGAGATGATTATATAATAATGTTAATGTTCTATGGCAAGCAAGGTGAAAACAGTAAACTTGCACTACTAGGAATTATCTTTCCATGTTTTATGTGGACACAAGCTGTTTGTGAAGGCAGCAGTATTACAGCTTGGTTAAAAATGTATGCTGCAGTCCTACAGAGGCATAAACGAGGTCATTGCTTTCAGTGGAACTATTCATGCTAGTAATGCTAACCTTTTCCTTTTTTAGGATTTGGTCTTCCAATTTTAGTAAATCTGTAATGCAGGTAGAGAAGGAAACCAGTTAGGAAAGTGACCGAGTTAGAGTTTCTTTGAACTAAAGGTTGTACCTCTAAAATCCAGGATTCTCTGGTCTGGCATGACCATGGATGTTCCAGGATCAGAGGGTGGGGGCTGGGAGCTGGTATGTGGCTCATCTGGGCTGTGGGTGAGGAGCTGGCACAAGGCTCAGCTGGGCTGCAGGTGAGTGGAGGCGGGAGACGGTGCTTGGCTTGGCTCCGCTGGGTTGAGGAGGGGCAGGACCTAGTGCACAGCTCAGCTAGGCTGCAGGGGAAGCCAGGAAGCCCAGTGAGAAGTGATGGGGAGGGGCACCAGCTGGGGAGCCTGAAATGACTGACCCCCTTGATCTAGCAAAATCCCTCATCTGGGACCAGTTGGACTAATTTTGTATTGCAAAAGAAGACTGTCTACAGAAGTTTTGGATTTTTCACTGTGAGCAATGCCAAAAGACCTTAATGTTAGCAGATTCAAATTTAATTTGCAGTTCTATTTTTGCAGTCCATCTTGTTTAAGCTCAGGGAAGTTTCTTTTTTGTTGTTTCCTCATCTGTACAATAGAGATTCTACAATTACTTATATTACAAGCAAGCTGTGAGAACTACAGATCCCAATAAATCAGAGGTGGGCAAAATGAGGCCCAGAGCCCAGATTCAGCCCACCAAGCATTTCTCTCTGACCTGCCCACCTGATTGGCAGAGTGTGCATAGTTATAGCCAAGCCTGTGTTCATCTGCCTCTTTGCCAGTCTTACAGCTGAGCTGCTCCCAGGTTTTTTCTGCTAGCTGTGCAGAAGGGGGAAGAAAGAAAGAGAGAAGGGAGTGCTTAAATGAGGATCTTCCTCTGCCCCTGTACTCCTCCACTGCAGAGCAGAGGTCAGGGAGAGGGAGACACACAGCAGAGCTGCTCCTTACTGAAGCATGGATGATGAATGACTCCGGTGTACAAAGCAGGACAGATTTCCCTTAAAGCAGTTGTCTCCAACCTTTTTACACCCAAGATCACTTTTTAAATGTCAGGGTAAGCCAAGATCTACCTCATCCTTCCCTCAAATCCCATGCCTTCCTTGAGGCCCTACCATCTCTGTTCTCCTCCTCTCCATCATTTGCTGTCCCCAGCCCTTACTCACTCTCACTGTGTTGAGACAGGAGGTGTGGGCTCTGAGGTGGAAATGAGGGATTTGGGTGTGAGATGGGGTGAGATGCAAGCTCTGGGATGGAATTTGGGTGCAGGAGGTGGTGGAGAAGGGGCTGCTGGCTCAGGGAGAGGGCTCCAGGATAGTGTGTGTTGGGGTCAGGGGGGGGGTGAGCCAGCCACAGGCTTGTGGATGTGAGTGTGTAGGAGTTTGGGTTGGAATGAGAGGGGCTCAGGGCACAGGTTTGCAGTGTGTGGATGGTACAGGAGTGTTGTGGCACAAGACTGCGGATGTGAGAAGCTCAGGGCAGGGGATTCTGATATGATAGGCTCAGGTTTGCGTGGTGCGGATATGAGAAGCTCAGGACGGGATTCTGATATGATAGGCTCAGGTTTGCGTGTGTGTGTGTGTACGCGCGCGCAGGAGTGTTATGATACTGCAGCCAGATGGGGCTTGGCACCAATTGGGGGCTTGTTGGCCAGGCTTCATTTTTAAATAAAATGTCAAACACAAAATGTTTCAGCATTGTCTTTATTTATGAGGGGGGCTGGAGTGCCAGGGGAGTGAGGTCTCAGTTGGGGCCACATTAGTGAGGTTTAGGGGGATTTGAGGGGTTGGGTTTTTGCATCTCACTTCTGTGGCCCCAACTGACTCTTCTGTGGGTCAATGACCCCTGACTCAACCAGGGTGCTGGTGGGCACTGGGGCAGGGTACTTGTGGTGGTCTGGCCAGGGGGAGGGAACTTGGACAGCTCAGCTGGTACCTGGGGATCCCATAGCTGTGCACCAGGTCCAAAGTCTCAGGAAGAAACGTGGGCTGCTCTTCTCCCTCCCCCAAAGAGCTCTGTTATGCCGCAGGGGACTTCCATCCCCCTACTGCCTTCCTGTGTGTATTTGTTGGGAGAGGGAGGGAGGGAGGTGAAGTAGGAGTCCTAGAACTTCATGCCATCTCCAACTTCTCTGGAAGCATGTGGCTGTTGTGGGGAGAGGAGGAAGAGTGCATGTTTCCTGAGAAGTTGGAGCTGGCGTGGAGTCCTGGGACTCCTATTCCCCACCCTCACGTGCAGGAAGCAGGGGGAAGGAAGTTCCTGGCAGCATGACAGACCTGGCATTTCAGGAAGCGTGCTGGCTGTTTGGGGGAGGGGAAGAGCAGCCCACCTGCTTCCTGAGACCCAGACCTGGTGCGCAGATGCTGTACTGTCCCCCTCTCCTTTCCGCTGCAGGAAGCTGGTGCTACCTCCATTTTCACAGGAGGTAGTGTCAGCACGGGCTCCTTCCTGGGGTTGGAAAGGAAATGAGAGGGGTTTGCAACACCTCACAATTGACCAGTCGATCCTGATTAATGGGTTGGTGACTATGGCCTTAAAGAGACAGAAAGCAGCTTCTCTCACAAACTTACCCAGCAGCAGCCAACACTGTCACTGTCACACATAGTCTGTGTCACACTGTCTGTCCCACACACAGTCACATACACACTTCCACATAGTTTGTGTCATGAAGTCTGTCTTACAATGTGTTTCTCTCTCACACACACTCTCTCTCTCTCTGTAGCCCCCAGCCCCACCTCTTCTCCCCGAGTTCCCA